CCTCATGAATACAGACACAAAACTTCTCAACAAAATTCTAGCCACAGAATATAAGCAGCATATCAAGAAAATAATACATCACGATCAGGTGGGATTTATACCAGGGATGCAAGTGTGGTTCAACATTAGAAAACTCAACCGACGTAACTCACCACATAAATAAAACAAAGGAAAAGAATCACATGATCGTCTCAATTGATGCAGAAAAGGCATTTGATAAAATCCAACATACTTTGCTGAATAAAACTCTCAGCAAAATAGGAATAGAGGGGAAATTTCTCAACATAATTAAGGGTATATATACAAAACCACCAGCTAACATTATTCTGAACAGAGAGAGATTGAATGCGTTCCCCTTGAGAACAGGAACTAGACAAGGATACCCATTAGCACCACCCTTATTCAATATTGTACTGGAAGTCTTAGCCAGAACAATAAGGCAAGAAAGGGAAATAAAGGGCATCCAAATTGGTAAGGAAGAAGTAAAACTATCCCTATTTGCAGATGACATGATCCTATACATAGAAAATCCCTGAGATTCCACGAGAAAGTTACTGGAACTAATAGACCAAAACCAAACTCACTGCCATACAGTCTATTCCAACTCACAGTGACCCAATAGGGCAGAGTAGAAGTTCCGCATAGGGTTTCCAAGGCTATAATCTTTACGGAAGCAGACTGCCACATCTTCCTCCCACAGAGCGGCTGGTGGTTCCAAGCACTTTAACCACTGTGCCACCAGAGCTCCTGAGGAACTAACAGAAGGGAGCAGCAAAGTGGCAAGGTACAAGATCAACATACAAAAATCATTTGGATTCCTCTACACTAACAAGCAGAACTCCAAAAAAAGAAATCAAGAAAATAATACCACTTACAATAGCCCCCAAAAGGATAAAACACCTAAGAATAAATCTAACCTAGGATGCAAAAGACTTATACAAAGAAAACTACAAAACACTACTGCAAGAAACCAAAAGAGACCTACATAAATAGGAAAACATACCACATTCATGGAAGACTTAACATCGTGAAAATGTCAATACTATTCAAAACAATCCATAGATATAATGCAATCCTGATCCAAATCCCAACAACATTCTTTAATAAAATGGAAAAACTAATCTCCAGCTTTACATGGAAAGGAAAGAGGGCTCAAATAGCTAAAGCATTATTGAAGAAGAAGAACAAATTAGGAGGCTTCACACTTCCCTGATCTCAGAACTTACTACACAGCCATGGCAGTCAAAACAGCCTGGTACTGGTACAGCAACAGACACATAGAACAATGGAACAGAATTGAGAACCCAGAAGTAAATCCTTATAGCTATGGACAGCTGATCTTTGACAAAGAGTCAAAGTCCATTCAATGAGGCTAAGATAGTCTCTTCAACAAATGGTACTAGCAAAACTGGCTATCCATTTGCAGAAAAATGAAACAAGATCTATATTTCACGCTGTCTTAGGTTGGGTTCTCCAGAGAAGCAAAATCAGTAAAGCGTATAAATATATATAGAGAGAGATTTATATCAAGGAAATAGCTCACACAATTGTAGAGGCTAAAACGTCCCAAGTCCATGGATCAGGGTGGAGGCCTCTCCCAATTCATGGAGCCACAGAAGCTGGTGAACCCAAGATCGGCAGGTAGGGGAGGGGCTCCGACTCACAGGCTGTGAAGGTCAATGAATTCCAAGATCAGCAGACAAGACTGCAAGGTTTCTCCTGATTCACGTAGCTGCAGGGGCTGGTGAACCTAAGGTTAGCAGGTCAGGGAACCAGACTCTTGCCCACAGGCTGAGAAGTTCAATGAATTCCAAGATCAACAGGGAAGCTGCTAGCTCAAGTCCCAAGAACCGGAGGTGAGATAACAAGAGGCAGCTGCTGAGTCTGGAGCAAGCCAAAAACCTTGGCAAGGCGAGCAGGCAGAAAAATAACTGGCAGAAGGCAGAGAGAGATGAAACGGAGGGGGTGGTGAGCTGCCACAGGCTCCACCTCTGCCAGTACCACTCAGCAGATTCCATCATGGGGGTGATCACAACATTATACAACTGCTAAAACACTGAGAATAATGGCCTAGCCAAGCTGACATACAATCTTAACCATCACAGTCTACCCCTTGTCATGGTTTGGATTATGTCCCCCCCAAAAATGTGTGTATCAATTTGGCTGGGCCGTGATTCCCAGAATTGTGTGGTTGGCCTCTATTTTGTGATTGTAATTTTATGTTAAAGAGGGTTAGGGTGGGATTGTAACACCACCTTACCCAGGTCACATCCCTGATCCAATGTAAACAGAGTTTCCCTGGGGTGTGGCCTGCACCACCTTTTACCTTACAAGAGATAAAAGGAAAGGGAAGCAAGCAGAGAATGGGGGACCTCATACCACCAAGAAAGCAGTGCCAGGAGCAGAGTGCATCTTTGGACCTGGGGTCCCCGCGTGGAGAAGCTCCTAGTCCGAGAGAACACCGATGAGAAGGCCGACAGAGAGAGAAAGCCTTCCCCTGGAGGTGACACCCTGAATTTGGACTTTTAGCCTACTTTACTGTGAGGGAATAAACTTAAACTTCTGTTTGTTAAAGCCATCCACTTGTGCTATTTCTGTTGGAGAAGCACTAGATGCCTAAGACACATGCCATACACAAAAACTAACTCAAAATGGATCAGAGACCTAAATGTTAAGCCTAAAACTATAGTTTCTAGAAGATAAAATAGGGACAAAGCTAGAGGTCCTAATTTATGGAATAAATATACTATCAAACATAACTAAAAATGCACAAACAACAGAAGATAAACTAGATAGCTGCGACCTCCTAAAAATTAAATAATTATGCTCATCAAAAGACTTTGCCAAAAAGTAAAAAAAGAACATGCAGACTGGGAAGAATTTTTTGGCAACAACATATCTGACAAGGGGACAATCTCTAAAATATATAGAAAACTTCAACACCTCAACAACTAAAAGACAAACAATCCAATCAAAAAAATGGGCAAAAGACATGAATAGACATTTCACTAAAGAAGACATTCAGGCAGCTAGCAAACACATGAAGAGATGCTCATGATCATTAACCATTAGAGAGATGCAAATCAAAACTACAATGAGATACCATCTCACCCCTGCAAAAATGGCACTGATTAGAAAAACAGAAAACAACAAATGCTGGCAAGATTGTGAGGAGATTGGAACTCTTATACACTGCTCATGGAATTGTAAAATGGTACAATTACTATGGAAAACATTATGGCACTTCCTCAAAAAGCTAGAATTAGAAATACCATATGATCCAGCAATCCCACTCCTAGGTATATATCCTAAAGAAATAAGTGCAGTGTCATGACAGACATATGCACACCCATGTTCATTGCAGCATTGTTCACAATAAAAAAAGATGGAAACAACCGAAGTGCCCGTCAACAGATAAATGGATAAACAACTTGTGGTACACACATACAATATAATACTACTCAACCATACAGGATAATGATGAGTCCCCGAAAAATCTTACAACGTGGATGAATCTGGAGGACATTATGCTGAGTGAAATAAGTCAATCACAAAAGGACAAATATTGTGTGATATCACTTTTATAAAAACTCAAGAATAGGTTTACAAACAGAAAGCAACATTCTTTGATGGTTATCAGAGAAGGGGGTGGTGGGGGAGAATCACTTACTAGACGGTAGATACATGTTGATTCTGGTGCAGTGAAAGGCAGAACACAATATGGGGGAAGCCAGCACAATATGACCAAGGTCAATGAAGACACCAAGAGGTACACAAAAATAAAGGACAAGTACGGTAAATGTCATAACATATATAATTCTGAAAAAATAATAATAACAACCAAAAATTTGTGCATGGTTACATAGGTAGATATGTATGCTATATAGGTGTGGGAGAGCATATGGGCATGCGCATATATAGGTATAATTCTGTTGCCATCGAGTCAATTCCAACTCATAGCGACCCTATAGGACAGAGTAGAACTGCCCCATAGGGTTTCCAAGGAGCAGCTCATGGATTCAAACTGCCAACCTTTTGGTTTGCAGCCCAGCTATTTTCCACTGTGCACCAGGGCTCCATATATACATATAGTTGTGGGCATTAGTATATACCTATTTGTATATGCTGCATATATATTCATATATATAACAGAGCACATAAGGGGGCAGTTATGGAAACTTCTTAGACCTATCCAGGCACCTCGTGGGAATGAGTTACTGGGCTTGAAGGCTAAGGAACATAGTCTCAGGCTGTATCTACATCAATTGACATAACATAGTTCATAAAGATAGTGTTCTACATCTTAGTTTGGTGAGTAGTATTTGTGGTCTTAAAAGCTTGCAAGCAGCCATCTAAGATACAACTACTGGTCTCTTCCTGTCTGGAGCAAAGGAGAGTGAAGAAAACCAAAGACTCTAAGGAAACAATTTGTCCGTAAGACTAATGGCCCACACAAACCACAGCCTCCTTTAACCTGAGACCAGAAGAAGTAGATGGTTCTTGGCTCCCACTACCAACTGCTCTGACCAGGGACACAATAGAAGATCCCAGTTAGAACAGGAGAAAAACGTAGAACAAATCTCAAATTCATAAAAAGAACCAGACTTACTGGACTTATCGAGGCTGGAGGAACCCCCCTAGACTATGTCCCTGACACCCTTGTAACCTGGAACTAAAGCCACTCCCGGAAGTCACCTTTCGGCCACATAACATATTGGTCTATAAAATAAACAATAACACCTGGGAGGAATATGTTCCTTAAAACAATCAGCTATCCGAGACCAAAGAGGCAACATCTGCCCAAAAGCAAAGAGGAGAAGGCAAGGAGGGGCAGGGAAACTGGAGGGATGGAAATGGGAAGGCAAGGTGGAAACAGGGAGAGTGTTGACACATTGTGGAGATAGCAACCAATGTCACAGAACAATTTGTGTATAAATTGTTGAATGAGAAATTAATTTGATGTATAAATTTTCACTTAAAACACAATGTTTAAAAAAAAAGTAAAGTACTGTATTTAGAACTGACAAAAGCTTACACTTAATAGAAGGCTTTTTCACAAGATCTAGTACAGGAAACTTGTAGAAATTAAATATACAGAGTATTTCTGACATCATACTGAATGTAAAACTGTATATTCCAAGAAATAAAGAAAACAACAAAGTGGAAATAAGACACTTAAAATAAATGTTGTATATTTTTCCTTTCTGGTTTTTATTATTTTTAAATTGTTCCCTCAGTCATCAAGTTAGATATGCTGGTTTCTGAGTAGCGTTTTACCTCTGGTGATTGCTTCATCTCCCCCTGTTGTCCAAACTGGTAAAATACAGCATTCTAGAAAGTGAGCAAGGCATTCCCTTACTCTATTGTTTGTAGGCTGACAGGAGGTAGGCAGGCACCTTCTGAAGTTTTATTCATTCTGTGTTTCTTCTCCTTGCTGCAACAAGAGAAGCCTTTTCTTTTAACCTGGCTGCCTTTGAAGAAGTGACTCAGACATCTTCATGGCCTCTACAGGTAAACATAGCCAACTAATAAATTTTTCCTTATGTTATGACTTTGAAAATATATAGTCATAGAGATATTACAATCAAAGAGATTGTTTCATACTTTAAATGCTGTCATTTTTCACTTTTGAACTTTGGAATTTTAAAATTTTAACTCCAAAGAGCATGCTGCATTAAATTAAAAAAAAAAAACTGTACCTGATAAAATGTAAAAGCTAAGATGTAAACAATGTATTAGTTATCATAAATATAAACACAGAAAATTAATAAGAAAAACTGCATATCAAAATTTAGGATGGGAATATTTTATGTCAAAAACAAAGACTGGTTGATATTCTAGATTTAAAGGAACTTAAAAACTTTTCACATATAAGGTAGAAAGTGTTCACACAAAGGTATAAACCATAGTTCAACAGTTTTCAATTTCCCATTAGTTGTTTAAAATATAAGTTACAACCATTTATTATAAAGAATTGAACTTGTGTTATTTATTGTTAAATCTCAATTAATTTGACAGACTACAGGTAATATTTCTGAACTGTGAAGCAAAATCGTTTAAAATTGCTTTGGTAGTAAATTAAATGTAAAAATCAGAATGAAAAATCTACTTTAAGTAAGCAGATTAATTAGGGACTTTTGGCGGGAGCTAATAAGTTTTTCCTCAAATATCTGAAATGATAGAAACATCATTAGTGCTGCCTTACTTCAAAGAAGTTCGCAAAAGACAATCGAAGTGGTTATTTTTTAAGGTAAAGTGTTGCAATCTCACTAATAATTTTTTCTGGTACTTGAAAAAGAAGAAATTATAATGTGTTTTCATTCTATTAAAGGAACAAACCATTAAACTCTTGGCTATAATGAAAAATTTTAGCATAACAAATTATTATTCATATGATTGGTGAAAATATGTGAAGCTAATTAGAAATAGGCTAAGAGTCTACCAATTTATAATATACTAAATTAAATTTATGATCCATTTAAACAGATATATATGCTTACTTACTTTATTAAAATCCATATTTGGAATAAACAAAGCAATCTTTTCATTTTTCATCAACATTTAATGTAGACTGATAACTGAGTACCATTGGGACAGCTCAACACATTGTAAAATACAGATATGAAACAGCAAAATCATGAATTTTAATGTATGTGTGCTTCATTTTTTTAATATTTGAAGACAAACAAAAAAAAATCTTGACAAGTATTTTCTTTCATTTAAGACTCACTAACACTTAATCCAAAACACTTTATCACTTTATAAAATAAGAGTTACAGCAATGACTGTAGCCTGTGAGGTAAAGAGTTTCAGAGTGTGTAAAATATTTATAAGCTAGTTATACATTTTTAAAAGAGTAGATAGAAATTCAAAGCCAGGTAGAAATTCAAAGAAGTTCCTTTTTCGTGTGCTGGTCTGAGTCTTTGAAGAAACTAGTGACTAGAAAGCAATATTGTGATCAAAATATGATTAATGTACCAAAAATGCAGAGATGGTCAGGAATGATAAGGACCTGAACTCAAGATTAAACTCAAAGGCAAAACTTCAGGAGGAAAGCTAACACTTCTTTCCAACCTACTCCAAACATTTAACACGTGAATTGGATAAAACATCTCTTAGACCCTTATACCACTTAAAAGAATTGGAGTGAAAACTGAAGCTGCCTTTTGAACTAGAGATCTTGCTTGAGATAGTGAGTCAGATTATCATCATTTACAATATTTCTGTGGATAATTTTCTTCATATCAGGAGTTAAACATAATGTAATACAGCTATACAGACTCAATACAGCCTTGACATTAATACTGAAGAAAGTAGACAAATTCAAGACCTGTGAAATATTTATAGTAAAATTTCAAGTGTTTAGACCTTCTGGTTGTTTTTGTGGTGCATGTATTTTTATATGGCATCTCCTACAAACATACTTAAATGCATTATTTATAATATCATGATGTTCTCTGGCCTGTGAAACTGTATTGGCAATTAGCATTTTCCCAGGGAATACAGGCTAATTGGATATTTCACACACTTGGTAGATGTGTCAATCAGCACTACCAAATCAAAGGATGGAGTCCCTCAGTGGTGCAAATGGTTAACACACCCAGCTGCTAACTGAAAGGTTGATGGTTCAAGTCTACCCAGAGGTGCCTCGGAAGAAAGGCCTGGTGATCTATTTCTGAAAAATCAGTCATTGAAAACACTATGGAGCACAGTTCTACTATGACACCCATGCAGAAGGTATTAATTCAATGGCAACTGTTTTTTAAACCAAAGGACAGTATGAACGCTGGGTGTCACTGGAACTAAAGAAATGTTTGTGTGGTCTGGAACCTCCTAGGTTAGTATGAAAATACACAACTCAAAAGCAGATTGGTGTCAAACTTTGTTTCAAGTTAAAGGAAAACAGGAGGTCCCAGGATGATTTGAACTAAACAGAAGCTATCTCCAAAAGCTATTCTAAAATAAACTGAAATTCCAGAAGAGGAAGCAAGTAGCCTCAGAATGGTGATCCCAACAGACTCAGACTGAGACTCACCTATTCTGTATCCTGAAGAAAGACTTTAGACATGATCTACTCAGGGCCCCAAGTGTCTGCATGCCTCTAAACCTGCTATGAGATCAAACAGCATAAAGATCTGGGTCAGAAACATAGAGCCACTTGCCAGACACTCAATAGCCTGTTGCATTTTGTTACAGCAAACATAGTTTACAGGATAAAATTGGAGTCATTATTGCCAGTATCTTTAACGATAAAATTGACAATGAGAGAGAATCTAATGGTCTTCTGCCAGCTAATATTAGAAATCAACCCCATACACATGTGGGCTTTTTTTTTTAATTGAAGGATAAACCAACTAAACCCATTGCCGTCCAGTCGATTCTGACTCATAGCAACCCTATAAGACAGGGTAGAACTGCCTCACAGCGTTTCGAAAGAGCAGCTGGTGGATTCGAACTGCCGACCTTTTGGTTAGCAGCCTATCTCTTAACCACTGTGCCAGCAGGGCTCCAACTGAGGGATAAGATGTATAAGATGCATAATGAGCACCAAACAAGCTCCATGATTTTTTAAATAAGGATATATTCATGTAACTACCACACAGCTCAAGATACAGAACTTTTGTTGTTGTTATCAGGTATCACCAAGTCGATTTAGACTCATAGCCATCCCATGTGACAGAGTAGAACTGCCCCCATAGGATTATCTGGGCTGTAATCTTTATAGGAGGTCACCAGGTCTTTCTCCCAAAGAGTTGCTGAGTGTGTTCAAATCACCAACCTTTTGGTTAGCAACTAGGCACTTAACTTTGTGCCCTCAGGGCTCCTCCTAGCACCCTTTAAAGTTCTCTTTGTGGTCAAGTTATGCATACCCACCCGAAGACAAGCTACTATTCTGAATTTCATCATTGTGAACTAGTTTTTCCTGAATCATGATTGTGCCTCCATGTTTCTCTGAAAGTCAGCAACAATAGTGCCTTTGACACTAACACTGAAGAAAGGATTTCATCTTTTAATATATTTTATTTATTACTACTACATTGGCCACTAGTTCACATTCAAATAGTCTTCCTCTGAGTTTACTGCTTAGGGGCTCATTCAGGCCCCCTTCTCAAGACAAAGGAAAGATCTAAAGCTTCATTACTTAGGGTCTGCAACACACCTGGGAGAAGTTCAGTTTGGGTTCCTCGCTTATAGAAAGCAAACTCTATAGTATGCTGCAATTTAGTGGGGCCAAATGACGAATTTGTTTCCAACTCTAAGTCCTGTCCAAATTCTGAATGTCACTTTGACCAATACAAACTTAGTGATTTATCTGGTGTTTTCCTATGGACTTAAAGTTAAGTAAATAAATAAATCATCTGACAATTATCCCTCACTAACACTGTATGTAACTGCTCGGCTGCTAACCGAAAGACTGGCTGTTCAAACCCATTCAGCAGCTCCTCTAGAGAAAGATCTTATGATTTGCTTCACTAAAGATTACAGCCAAGAAAACCCTAAGAGGAAGTTCTACTCTCTATCACATGGGGTTGCTATGAGTTGGAATAGACTGAGTGGCACCCAACAATAACACTATATGTTAGTTTAATTCATTGGTTCTTATAATTCAGCATGCATCAGAACAATGACTTTAACAAGTTGCATTTCTAAAATTAGCTTATTTCAGTGCCCAAAGTGCTATTGCTTGGACGCCTATGGGGGATGTGATAGCGGAAAGAGAACCCAGACTCAAATTCAATCAGAAGAGTTTTTATTAAGCCAAGACAAAGAAAATCATTCAAATGAGGGGACCATCAGTGTGCGCTGAGCACAAAGACCAATGGATCCACAGTCAGGGAGCAGCTAATATACTATTATAGAAGGAAGTAAAGTTAAGAAAAAATCTGGTTGGTTATTCATTGATACATCACTGTCAAAGGTGGAATAACAAAAGTGGGATCTTTACAATGATTAGTTTAAAGAATTTTTTTGACTAGTTACTGCTTAGCAACTATAGGGTTTATGAGAGGTGGGTTTCACAGGCCTTTTGATAGACATTCGTTTCTGGAAATGTAGAGGTTACATAAAACTCCTTGGAAACATCCTATCAACATTTGTTCTTGGCTTGGTTACAAAGGAAACATTTCCTTGGATACTAGCTAACAGGCAGAACTGCCCTAACCAGTTTAGTTTTCTGGTTCTACATGTTTTCTACAGAATATGAATTTTAGACCTGGACCCCACCTTAGCTTCTTTTACTCTGGTGAAGTACCTCATACAGTTTTAGAGTCTCTATATCATTCTCTCCTTTTGATCAAGGATTTCAATCAACACAATTTGATCATACCATGGGCATACTTTCTTCTGCATGGATTGTTGATATGCTGCTCCCAGGCAGTGGCTCCACCTTTACGGTTTATGCCTGTCTTTTTTCTGGTGTTGAGCCTCTTTCTCCGTAGTTGGAGATCACTGGTATCTTGGTTGACAGACAGCTCCGGGAAATTTACCATGATATTATTGAGCAGCCATCT